TGTGCAAACTGTAAAATAATAAACTGTATAAACTTACAATAAGGCTACATTATTCGTACTATTAAAGAGTATTATTTACCAATGAGACTGTTTTGTAAGCATTTAGTACAAAGTTAATTCTTTTTTTCTTTCTTTTTTTTTCAATCTTTGCAAATAGCATCAGGAATTTAGTTTCCTTCTCAAAGAAAGGGTGTGTCCTCTTGTGATAAAGCTCTTTTCTCCAAATATAAAGTTCAGACAAGGTTCCAGCACTTCATCTTCTCCAGCACCAGTTGAAAAACCGTATTTTCCTATCTGCATGCGTTTGCTGAGAGTGGTATCTGTTCTGATTAAGCAATTTTACAGTCTTTTGGTAAGTGCTAATTTTCGTAAATGTTTGTGTGTGTAACTGCTTGAAATCTCTTCTTAGATGATTTATTATAGTGTGTTTAGCTTTTTAACTTCAGTTATGTGGATCTTTTTTTTTTTTTAGTACATACAGGTATTCTCCTAGGTACCCAAAAGATTCATTCCTTCCTTTCTTGAATCTTTCTTATGTTTATATGGTATTTTTCATTTATGGCAAGAAGAATCATGGCCTGTTATAAGATTTGGTGAATTTTAGTATTAGAAATCAATTTTTACTTTCAGTCCAATATTGTATCTATTTTGTATAAATTTATGGAAGCAGGATATGTTGTGATACTCCTGATCATAGTTCTATCGATGTAATGGTTTACTCTTAAACATTTAAATAATATTTTTCAGAGAAAATGGTGTATTATATTTCTTTTTAATTTTATGTTAAATTCATTGTATAAATTTTAATATTTATGTCCTTAATTTTAATTAACAAAAATAGTTGTTGATCATCTGCTGTGAAAAGTCAAGCTAAATGTTAGAGATAACCAGCAACATTACAAACTATTGGATAGTATAGGTAGTTAAAGTAAATTCTGTGGAGACCTTTTTAAAATAAAGTTTTTTTCCTATATATGTTACACTTGTCATAGATTTTCTTTTCATATTCCAAATTAATTTATGCAAAATGCATTCAGAAATAATCTTTATAAGGACTGTAGTTATTATTTCTGGCTACATAAGATACATCTATAATACGCATTGTTGTCTTTAATACTTTGTTTGGAAATACTGTAAGGAATCAAGTCATTTCAGAATATATTGCTATTTAAGGAACGTAAGCAATCGGGGTTTGGTGCCAAAGGTTTGAGTCTTTTGATATACTCAAAATTGTTGGCTCGGACTTTTTTGTTGTAACTTTTTGAAAATTACAAACCATGTTCCCCACAACATGCAGAGTATTTGATATAATTTCCAATAGTTATATTTAATTGAAAAATCAAGACTTTGTTGTCTAATTATATACAATTAAAATGGAGGGAAATTCTTTGAGTCTTTACATGGGTGAAATTTTAGAAATTTTGAAAGGTCAGCTTGCATTTGCCGGAAGTAAACGAAAAGTAGGTTAGTTTCTCCAAAGGTGGAAAGCTTATACCTGTCGGCTGTTATATTTTCTGTATTGTATTTGTTTATAGTCTGTTTGTGGAGAAGCTTTTAAAAAATGTAAACCAGAGTGACAAAATGGTGGGATAGGAAGCTCCAGGCACTCTGTGCCCTGTGGAGACACCAGCTTATTGATGTACAGACCAGATTGCTTTTGTAAGAACTTTAGAAACCAGTTTAGAAATTACAGCACCCAGGCAAGTACAAGGCCAAGTAAAGGTTCATTAGAGTGGGTAGGAAAGCCGTAGCAGTTACCGGATATACCTCATCCCACTCCTGGCACAGCACAGCATGGTATGGTCAAGAGAAAACTCCCAATCTAGGGCTTCTCCTTCATGTGGGAAAGAAAGATGAAATGTGCAACCAGCGCTCTGACTTGTGGGGGTACTGCTCAAGGGACTGATTTTTGTCTTATCCAACTCTTGGACACTGACAAGAAGGGCAGCAACACACTTGGGTGCCTGAGGACCAGCTGAGAACAAAGGCAAGCCCTGTGGCTTGCTGCAGCACCAGGGAGGTTGTAGTAACACAGGCAGACACCAGGGGAAGCACGGATACCTAGGCTGGTACAGCACCACAGGCTGCAGTACTCCAGACAGACACAAGAGGGAGCTCCAGAGTAGAAACAAGCACACGCAAGCCCAGGGAAGACACGTTGACAGAAAAAACTATATCCAAGAATACTACATACAGCAAAACTTTCCTTCAAAAATGAAGGAGAAGTGAAGACTTCCCAAAATGAATAAAAACTGAGTTTATTACCTGTGACGAAGCCAAATATGTATCACTTCACTCCTTATTTCCTAAGTATTATCCGAGTTGTCTTAGGCGGGCTTATGTCTTGTCCCTCTCTAAATGCAGGTTTAACTAATTAAATTAACATAAGGTTGTAGGAGGAGAAGACATCGCTCCTTTTCCTTTTCCTAGCCACTAGTCAGTAATGGAGAGTCAAGTCTCTCTTCTGTTCTCCACCATAATGCAGCATGCTTACATCCTCAGCATAATCAATGCAGAATTCACATTTTGTTTCTGTCCCTGAATCAAGAATTACCAACTTAACTATCTTTTATGTTTATAAAACTTGGTGCTGAATTGTTTCCCTTCAGAATTTATATGTTGAAGCTGTAACCTCCTCTTTGATGGTATTTGGAGACGGGATCTTTAGGAGATAATTAGATTAGATGAGGTCATGAAGATAGGGCCGCCAGGATAGAGTTACTGACCATATATGAAGAGACACTAGAGAGCGTGCTTGCTCTCTCTCTGCTGTGTGAGGACACAGTGGTAAGGCAGCCAGAAAGAGAGCTCTCACCAGAGCCCGACCATGCTGGCACCCTGATGTCAGGTTTGCAGCCTCCAGAACTGTGAGAAATAAATTTTCGTTGTCTAAGCCACGCAGTCTACAGTATTATGTTATGGCAGCCCAAGATGACTAAGCACTTGGTTTCTGTCCATCAGTTCTGGTATCTAGCAGTTCATCCAGTGACTTTTTCAGGGATCAGATACCTTATTCCGTAGTAATTTCCATTTTGGGTGAAATTGCTGTCATTGTGTGCATAGATCCTGGATACTACACAGTGCTTTTACATTTATTAATTCATGTAGACTTTACTACAACCCTATAAAGCAGGCACTCATTTTTATTTTACAACTGAAAAAATGAGGCTCAGGATATTTATATAATTTACCTGGGATCATATGGTGTATAAGCTGAAGAGCTGGGATGTTAAGTACTTCTGTTAGACCCCCACATGCACGCTCTTAACCCCACTGCATTTTATGCTTTACTGTTTTCTTAATTCTCATTTCTTCCCCTCTCCAAGGCTGCCAGTGCCAAGTTTTTTGTACTGCTCCTATCCCATTCTCCCTATTTTGACCTTAGTCTCCTCGATTTAGGGGGCAGAATGAGGAGAGAGAACAGCACAGCCAGATGCAGAAAAGATTGAATGTTAGTGCCTAAAAGAAGAAAAAGACCTACTCTGTACTTCACTCATCGTTTGGGAGTGATGACCAACTGGTAAAACTGCCCTTCACAACAAGGCAGCTCTAGGGCGGTGTTACAAGGATGAATTCTTCAGATGTATATAAGATATTAATTCCTCAGCATTATAATTTGTTAGATTGAAACTTAATTCATTAGTATGGGACAGTCCAGGTAGTCTAGTTTCTCCAAGGGCAAAAGTTAAAAAAGTGTGGTAGTTGTCGGGTGAGATATGTGAGTGACGTGGAATGCTTCTCTCTTATTTTTCTTGCATTTTCTTTATTTAAACCTGAAAATGATATGTCTCTTAAAGGACATACCAGAGTAGTAATTCTTATACTTTTCAGATGTAGGGCCTCTCAGTAAAAATACTGAGGAGGTTTTGTTTATGTGGATTATTTCTGTCATTATTTACTGTATTAAAAATTAAGTCTGAGATGATACTGAAACCCATTACATGTTAACATAAAAATAAAATTTGTTTTTGTGAAGAATCCATATATTTTCCAAAGAACGAAAAAAGCATTGTTTTGTGTTTTTTGCAAACCTCTTTAGTGCCTGGCTTAATAGAAGATGGCTGGATTCTCATACTTTCTTTTTGTTTCATTATTTTGTGATATGTTGTTTCAGTCAAAGCATCTGTCCTCACAATGATACGTAGTTGGAAAAGGCAGAATTATTTCAGTGGCCTTTTCAGTTAATAGTGGATATTCTTTGATATTACACCAAACTGAACCAGTGACGCTTTAAAAGTGTAGAATCTGAGACCATATTAATGACATTTTTATACTCTGTTACCTTAAAATTCATTGATTCATCTTGTGCTTTGTTTTTTTTAACCCATGCATGATTTTGTAGTATTATTTTAGTTGTGCAGATATTCCAAATGTTAACACTTTATACAGTACCAAAAATGACGTATGTTAATATCAGCAACCATTTATCAGAAAAACCTTCTGTTATTAAGATGCTATCAAGGTCACAGAAGCAGATACAAATTTTCCAAAATTCTAATTTTTGTTTGAAAGCTTCAGTCTTACCATTGGTAATAAATACTGTCAGTTGTTTCCCCTAAAGTGACAGGTTTATTTTGTTAATTTTTGATAAAATGTCTCTAATATGCACAAGTGTAAATAGTCATAGTTTGCCATTCGCTCTTTCAGTTAAAATGACTTCCATAGGGGAAAAAAGTGACTAGGTCAGTTCTCAGTGGTGCTTTTCCTCCAAACAACCATTGTACTTTGATACACAGCAAAAGTGCTTCACGTGTACTTCCCATTTTGTCGCGCAGAAAATTAAAAAGACATGCATGTATGGGTCACATTTAATAAATTCAGTGATTTGTGTTTTATTTGTTATTTGTTATTTTAGTCTTGCTCATTGTGATTGTGGTCCTTAAGTGAAACAAATCTTGTGTGTGTGTGTGTGTGTGTGTGTGTGTATGATGGTGAAGAATACAATGACACTAGAACAGTTTGGTGCTGCTGCCTTGATTCTTGCTAAAGCACCATCTGTTTTACCCACCATTGTTTTGAATCATCAATACAAATGTCAATATGTTAAAAATGGCAAGTAGTATCTTAGCATTATTATAGAAGTAATTATGATGTTACAGATGCCCTGCAACGGTTGCAGGGACCCCCAGAGGTCCATGGACCCCACTTCTGGGACCATTGCACTGGAGAATCAGTGTTCTCCGCCAGTATTCACCAGCTTATCTCATATTCTATCAAGTAACTCAGAGGTGAAGATAACTAATCTTCTGTTAATACATCTAGAGTAACTAGAGGAAATAGAATGCCCAGTCATTCAGGTACAGAGATAATAGAGCTAGCACACAATATTTTTCCCACTTTCTATCATCTGAGCTGGGTGCTTTTCTGTCCTCTAAAACACTTAGCCTCCATGCCCAGAGATCTCTTTTAAGAAGTTACCTGTAAGAAATTCATTAAAGATACCTCCTAATTTTCTAAACTTAGTTATAAATGGCTAACATGTCTCCATTCTACCTTTGACTTACTACTTTTAAAGAAATGAATGGACTAAATGGCTCGTGCAGTTTAATTTTCCACTTCTTTACAAATATTTCTCTAACACTGGATCTTAATACTAACAAGTCTATCATCTATAAGGTTGTTAACTCTAACCATCCCCTGAGAAATAAATTCCTGCATTTAAGAATTCTACCAGACTTTCTTCATTGTCTCCTAAGCCAACAGTTATCATATGTATATGATTTCTTATCAGGTATCTGTGTGATATTTCAGTGAGAATTTCCGACAGGATGACTGATTCATCTTAAGCATTAGTTGTCTCCTGACTATTACCTGCTACCAAAGGACTAGAGGAATTCACGCACATTCATCACTGTTCATGCTAGTATAATGGAGTTCATGAAGTATCTTTGTGCCATGAGAACTGGACTTAGGCCATAGATACCTGTGTCATGTGAGTGCAACCCCGTGGGGGAAAGGCTTTACTTAGATTCATAATAGGCATCTTCCATTGATATCCTTGAGAACAATTCATTGTCCTCAGCCACGACTTCTCTGATCAGACTTTCACACTTGGCAAGCAGGGAGGAAGCGAGAGCAAAGCTCCAGACCTCAGGAGAAAGGCTCTTTTACCCAAATCACAAGACTTCAGTGGCTACAGTATAAACTGAGTGATTGTTTGATTTGTACTGTCGTCACTTTTTCATAGGAGGAGAAATGAGAGGAAACTCTTCAAGGCAGGTTTTATAACATTAATCTTTCCTTTGGCTGTGATACACTTGATGTTTCTGAGCGACTTTATTTCCTGGCCTCAAAACCTAACTGGTGAGCCTTCTTCAATTCTATGATTACGTTTACATTCCACTTTCCCTCTAAAACAGATCATACACATTTTGAAGGACCTACTCCTGTTAAAACTTCAGTAGACACAACTATTGCTCAGTGAGTCACTAGCATGATTCTTTCTCAGTTCTTTACTAAAAAGGAGTATTTTATTTAGAAAAAACAATAAGCACTCTGTACTTACGTGTCACTATGTCATGTTTAGGGGGCGTTTTCTTACATTTTCCTCATTTGATTTCTCAGAAGGTTGCAGATACTTTTATCCTTTATTTATAAGAAAGTTACCTTGCTTGTCATCTGCAAAGTTGGTGGATAAAGAGGCTGAGTCGTGTTTTCTGATCTAGTGCTTTTTGACCATATCAAGTTTAGGACAGTGACAAACCTCTGCATTATGACTTCCCCAGTCATAGCAGTCTAAGGATAAATTGCTTTTAGTTCTCCCTCCTACTCTATCTTCATGTCCTATTTTTAAATATCTTTTAAAGACATTAGAACATACCAACTGCTAAAACTTTGGGCTAAACTCCTGAGGGCTCCTCTGTTCTCGAAATTCCTTGCCCCACATTATGGCCACTCTTTGGGGCACCCCCAGCTAAAACGTCTAATAACTTGCTGTGCCTGATAAAGAAGTAAGATTCAGTTTGGCCTAGTGATCACAATGTCAGGTTAATTCTTATCTTTCAGAGGTCCTGCTGTGTCCTCAACTAATATGTGACAGAAACAATCCATTAACCTTTGAATTAACTGGTTACTTTTTGTTTGTTCACTCAGTCATCAGATATTTAATAAGTAATGTTGAGAATGTGAAATAAAATTTGAGAAATAAAGAATAAATATTCTTTATTTCCAAAGTGCTTGCAGAGGAGATGGTTTATATTAATAACAAAGGTAATAACTAATACTTAATAAAGCAAAACTATGCACCAAGCCTTGTTCTTAGTACTTTGTGTGTCCTACACCTGTCAACTGCTACAGGTTCCTTCTTGTTTTCCTACTAGAAAATAAATGCCAAACATTCTTTGGCTTATTGCCTCTTTGCTTCTTAAGCAACGCAAGAACATACAGAAAAAGCTTTGTGGTATTACTGAAGGGTAGAGCATACATGATACATGCCGCCTTCCAGGAATGAAGGTGGCATGATGATGCATTGTGCTTTCTCAAGGATAAGGATGAAACCATGTTGGAAGATCACTGGTGTGAGTTTTCGATGATGTATTTAGAGAGACACTGATTATTTTTACTGTTAGCTTTTCCATACATAAGTTCTTTTCCCTTCCTTTCTTTTTCTCTGCTCCTCATTACAAATGATAATTTATTTAAAATTTTAAGATTTTGTTGGTTTGTCTACAGCACTAAGTTAAAAACAAGAATGTAATTTATAGTTCTTAGATTTAAAGAAATATTATTACAAATCTTGTATTTTTTAGGTAACTGAATGTGAAATATTTCTGTCACTTCTGGTGAAATTTCTGGATGCAGATAAACCGCAGTGGCTACGAGCTGTTGCAGTGGAATCGATACACAGACTCTGTGTGCAGCCTCAGCTATTGAGGTAGAACCTTCGCAATATTTTGTTAAATGGATAGGATAATATTTATGCTGGTAGGAAGGGTTCTAAACAAAGAAAATTGTGTGTTGTATGTAGATGGAGGGGTGTAGGTGTGGGCAAAAAGTGTGGTTAGTGATTGCCCTCAATTGAATTTACTGAGTTAAAATGGGCAAGATAATTTTTTTCTAAGAACATTGACCTCAGTCTGAACCTTTGTCCAGAGTTAGTAAAATCACTTAGGTGTGATGAAGAAGTTTTTAAAGTATTGCACTGAGACTGATTTATCAACATCACTTGCTATTTAAAAATGTTTGAAAATTTTAATATGTTCAAATATTTTCTCCAGAAACATTTAAAATTATTTTACAGGTCATTTTGTCAGTCGTATGATATGAAACAGCATTCTACCAAGGTTTTTCGTGATATTGTGAATGCACTGGGATCTTTTATCCAGTCCTTGTTTCTTGTCCCTCCTACTGGAAATCCTGCTACAACAAACCAAGCTGGTAAAGGCTTATCGTATTTTGGTTTTTATATTCTGCTGTAATTTACAATATTCGCTACTCTGAGATGATATTTCATAGAAATCCTGTGACTAGAGAATTGGGGTTACCTAAATGTATGCATTTATAATATTTTATTGTATTTCTTTATAATATTTTGTATTTTATATGTAAGTGTAAAGACTTACACTTAAAGAATAGTTTCATCCCACTGAGGCAGCTGTGCATATTTCTTTCCAGAGTGTATTTTCTTCTCTTACATACTTTCAGTTCCTCTAATTACATAAGAACAAAAGTTTAGATGCTAATCTTCATTTTAGAATCAATCTTCTTTGGTACTTCTCTTTAAAGACTTTGGTTACTACCTTAGGACTATTCATCATTCTTCTAAAAAAACGAGTAAATGTGATTTAAGTTTGGAACTCAATACATAGCTTCTTGTTCCCTTTAACTTCTCTTCTACTTTGTCCTCTGTGATTAGTGGTCCTTTTTATCCTTTATTCCCACCTCTGATAAAAAGTGATTTAACCAAAGGTATTTTATAAAGTTTGTCAGTATTTTTCTTTATTAGTATGTTTTATATAGAGAAGGAAATGGTGTTTTGGGGAAACAGGGAGACTCTACAGTAGCTGAAACAGGACTGATAAATTTCATTTATTTGTGCAATATCTAGTCCAATAGCTTAATTTTTGAAAAATTGATCAGGGGGAGGGTGTAGCTCAGTGGTAGAGTGCATGCTTAGCATGCACAAGGTCCTGGGTTCAACCCCCAGTACCTCCACTAAAATATGAAATAAAAAATTAATTAAAAAATACATAAAGAAACCTAATTACCTCCCCCAAAACAAAAACAAAAAAATTTTTTTTTAATTGGCCAAGTGTTTGAATATTATGGATTTGTAATTAAGCAGTAAGTTGGTATCTTTGCTCTCTTTCCCGTATCTAACAGGAAACAGTAATCCGGGCGGCCCTGTTTCAGCACCGGCTAACTCAGGAATGCTGGGGATTGGTGGAGGTGTTACTTTGCTACCAGCGTTCGAATATAGAGGAACTTGGATACCTATCCTGACTGTGACAGTGCAAGGCAGTGCTAAAGCAACCTAGTAAGTAGTGGTCACATTGCTTTGTAAGGAGTGGTGTTGTGGGGGACTACGCTTTATCCTGAAGTGTTTCTCTCTGCATTATATTTTAAATTTTAGACCTACTATTTCTAACATGTTCAAGAACTAATTTTATTTTGTCATATTTTGAGAATTTTATCTAGGACTGGATTTTGTTTGTTTTCTTTTGTACTATTTGAAGACTATTAACGGCATTATAAAACAGAACGTGTTTTCTTTACCTAAGGTCCTATTCGGCTATACTGTACAGATTTTTGATTTAAGTATGTGGCTTGATTTCAGGGCTTTGGACTTAGGTCTTTTGATACTGAGTTACCGTCAGCAAATTAGTTTTTAAAAATCTCAGTTTCCTCAACTGTAAAATGGGAGTAA